TGTGTATGTGTATGTGCGAATGTAATGCCACCAAGTAAAATATGAAATGTATTGTGTTCAGTGTAAATGTGACATCGCAAGCAGAAGCAAACATGCGCATCGACTTTTTGAATACGAAATAAGTCGATAAGCTACAACAAACAGATCCATTCAAATGAGCGAGAGAAAAACTGTGTTTGACCAGCAAAGAGTTTCCGTTTGAATTTATCACATTATTTCATTCGGGCTGACTTTTTTTGAAGGAAATCAATTTTTTATATCTCAGTAGTGCGGAAAATGATAATTATCAATTAAGGTAACGGTTTGGTAGCTTCGGCTGAATTGAAGAACTTGAGGTCAACCACGAGTTTTTCAGAAGAATTTCCTTACATTTTGTATCTTTGGCTAAACGACGACTCGGTCGATGAAGTTGGTGTAAATTGTAATCATCAATGACCTCAACAAGATTGTTTACTTAGAAGAATAGGTCGTTAATGTCTATGCATGGTGGAATATTGACATATAAAATATAATACCAAGGAGGTAGGTATGACTTATTCCATCATCAAAACACTCACTTCTGTGGCAATTTTTCAGTGAATACATACAGATAACATAATATCTGTTCCTAAGCATTAGCTCCTAATTAGCTGCAGCTATTTCGAATTTGTGACTCATTTCCCGCAAAAATTCGTAGCCTCTTTGAATTTATGACAGATTTTTTATGAAAAGTATTGAAATACTTACCAAAAATTTAAAGAGGCCACGAATTTTTCTTAGAAAATGAGTCAAAAATTCAAAATAGCTGCAGCCATTCAGGAGATAACGCTTAGGAACAGATATTATGTTAGCTGTATGTATTCACTGCAATTTTTTCTCTGTCCGACCTTCTCCTGATTCAATTTCAGAAGAATTCTTTTAAAATTTATGTAACAATCGAAAATCCGACTTAATAAGGTATAAGGATACACACTAAACCTATAATTAATTGTTATAGCTTTTAATGGGCTCAAATCTCGTCTCCTTAAACAAATGAATATGAAAAATAGATTGAGCACAACACATTTGTCGCCGTGTCGCTCTTTGGAATTTCCTTTTTCTATTCGGCAGTACTTAAAAGTGCATGTGTGCTACGTCAAATATGAAATGTAATGAAAATATGTGTGTAATGTTTCATCAATCCACATTGTTGCAATAAATGCAGACAAGCCACATTTATTCAAGCGAATGAGAGGTGTGAT